TTTAGTGTAATCCTTTGGCTGTGTCGTTTTTCATGGTGTTATATCCTACCTAAAAAACTGATTCCACCTGGAGGGCCTTGCGTGGGCGCGACCTCCCTGGGTGGACTCTTCTCATTCATCTGAATTCAGCTGCCTCCTCTCTGCTCTTCATCACTCATGTTCTTCGATCCCCTTCATTTTTGTTTCGATCTCTTATACTGAAATTGGTTCTCTCGTGTGTTCTCACTTCAAGCAGGAAATTGTATTGGATCAATGGATGAACGGCTTGAGGAGACTTTGCACATCTTTTCCTTCAGACCATTTAGCGTGTTTGGTGTACGTGGCGTCCTGCATCGACACAGAAGGGGGACTGACCCGTTGGTACACCTACTGATTCGTGCGCCTCTATTTCGCCTGGGATTCGGTGTGTCGAGCGCAGTGTTATTAAGGAAGAGGAGCAAGTGAGCAACTTCAGCCAGTCGTCTTCACGCGCTGTTGACAATGTAATTAGGGTTTTGAGGTCAGCCCAAGACTTGAAGCGAGACTGGGTCAGTTTGCGTCGCTGCCCACGTCGGTTCCTCATTCTTTATTCCTATTCTTCCTTCCGCTCTACCCGTTCGCTCTTCCATTCTGTCGTGTAAATCATGTAAGAATACGTAGAGATTCCTTAGTAATTCGCCCGAGATTTAACAAATGTTCTATATTCAAATATACAGTACGGAGGCCGGTTAGTGATAAACCAGACTACGGCGGTACCATAGCTCTTTTAGCACACCCTCTCGTCGCTATACAGTACACAGTGCATACCCCCCCCCATCCCCGACCCCCGTCTCCTTTATAACGTTAGATGCATTTTCCTTCTTAAACTCAAGATGGACTCTCGGAGGCTGCTTTCTCAGACTCGAGAAGAGGTGGACCAAGAGGGGGAGAGGAAGGTGGACGTCTGGGAGGTAGCCACTTAACCCCCTTAGGGATAAAAGTGAAATCTTTTCTCGTCCGCTCTCACTCTCGCCAGATTCTTTGTGCTGAGTCGGTTTGTTGCTTTTGTGGTCAGCGGGATTGCTTGTGTTAAGTCTGAAGTAAAGTTGGACTCTTTTCTGTCTTTGCTCTCACTTATCTGTCTCTCCGTCTCCCCTCTCCTTCTCTCTCCTCTCTCTCTCTCTCTCTCTCTCTCTCTCTCTCTCTCTCTCTCTCTCTCTCTCTCTCTTTCTCTATCTATCTCTCTCTTCTCTCCCTCTCTCTCTCTCTATCTCTATCTCTATCTCTATCTCTCTCTATCTCTCTCTATCTCCTCCTCTCTCTCTCTCTCTCTCTCTCCTCTCTCTCTCTCTCTCTCTCTCTCTCTCTCTCTCTCTCTCTCTCTCTCTCTCTCTCTCTCTCTCTCTCTCTCTCTCCTCTCTCTTCTCTGTCCTTCCCTCTCCTCCTCTCTCTTCTCTCTCTCTCTCTCTCTCTCTCTCTCCTCTCTCTCTCTCCTCTCTCTCTCTCTCTCTCTCTCTCTCTCTCTCTCTCTCTCTTCTCTCTCTCTCTCTCTCTCTCTGTCCGTCCGTTCCCCCCTCCTCTTTCTTCTTCTCTCTTCTCTCATCTCTCTCTCTCTCTCTCTCTCCTCTCTCTCTCTCTCTCTCTGCTCTCTCTCTCTCTCTCTCTCTCTCATCTCTCTTCTCTCTCTCTCACGAAAATACACAAGCACAGAAACAGATGCATGGCGCTGTACAGACGAGAACAAGCCTCCACGCAAATACAAAACAAAAACAACAAATTCACGCTTTACACCTCATCTCTAAAAATTTTTGCGCCATCGCCAAAGCTGCACTCGACTCCAAGACAATTGCAGTCCAAACAAACTAGACAATAGGCCTAGGTGCCAAAGCAAACAAAGCATAAACTAGAAAAGATAGACCCTAAGTGCCAAAACAAACTAGACAACGGGCGTATACGAAAAAATAGACAATAGACGTATGTTGCAAAAGGAGCAAAAAAGGACAAAAGCCGATGTGAAATTCAAATTACTACTAAACAAAAATATATATATATGTATATATAGGCCTAAGAGCTTTTAAAAATACGAGTAGAATAGGCTAATTGCCAAAATAACAAAACAAACAAACTGGACCTTAAGTGCCAAAAAAGCATTCCAAAGTGACAGACCGCTTGGAAATTTGCAACCTGCTCTGGTCACTTTCCTTGGTTGACGGAGAGCCTGGCACTGTGCCAAAGGTTGCTTCAGCACTTTCAGGGGTTTGCTGTTGCTTTATCGTTGTTGTTTTGCCTTCAAAATTTATGTTGCAATTGGCAATATCATTGTTATATTTTCTATTAGTGTTAATACTATATCATTGTTGTTATTATGTTATTGTTATTATTATTATTTTCATTATCATTATCATTATCATTGTCAATATTATTATTGTTGATTTCATTATCATTTATCATATTATCTTATTATTGTTATTATTTTATTACCATTATCATTGTTATTAGTTAGGTTGTAATTACTACTATCATTAGCTATTATCATTGGTATTTGCAAAAGCATTAGTATTAGTTTATCGTCATTATCATTATCATATTATTATTATCTCCATCATCATCTTCATGATGATAACAGAAATAATGATAATGATAATAGTAATAATAAGGATGATGATGGTTTAATGATGATGAAGTTTAGTATTATCCTTATTTTATAATTCAATTCAATAGTAGTAGTAGCTTTAATGATTATAATGATAATAAGGATAATAATAGCCATTTTCATTATCATTATAATTAACATTTTCATTACTATTACTCTTACAATTGTTACTAGTATTATGGTTAGTATTGTCATCATTACTACCCTTATCATTATTATAATCGTTATCGTTATCATCATCATTATTACTGTTGCTGTTAATATTATTATCATTGTTATTATTATTGTTGTTATTGTTATTTTTGTTATTACAATTACCATTGTTAATGTTATAGTCATTTGTTATTGCGACTATTATATTGTTGTTAACATTTCTATTATTATTGTTTTCGTCATCATCATCACCACCACAACCATCATCATTATCGACCACCTTCACATCATCCACCATCATCCATCATTCACCACCATCACTATCATCACCACCATCATCATCATTATCACCACTACCATCATTATCGCCTTACTTCCTCCCCACTACCATCGAGGAACAAAGAGCAGGGAACCGAGGCGACAACACGCGCCCGAAGGCAGGGGAGGCAGCCGGACCCACGACAGGGAGCTCGGAGACGTCGCAGGCAGACTTCGGGGTCGAGGGGCAGAGGGGCTGTTAGGTGGCCGCGCAGTGAGAGTGGATGGGCGGGAGAGGGTCATGAGGAGGGAGGGAAGTGGGGGTGGGGAAGGGTAGGTCATGAGGAGGAGGGTGGGTGGGTGGGGGGAGAGGGTCATGAGGAGGGAGGGAGGGAAGTGGGGTGGGGTAGGAAGGGAGAGGGTCATGAGGAGGGAGGGAGGGAGGGTGGGGTAGGAAGGGAGAGGGTCATGAGGGAGGGGGAAGTAGGAAGGGTAGGAGGAGGAGAGGGGGAGAGGGGAGGGGTGGGGGAGAAGGGAGGAAGTTGAGGGAGGGAAGGAAGGGAAGGAGGAAGTTGAGGGGAGGAGGGGGAGAGGGAAGTGAGGTGGAGTAGGAGGGAAGAGGGAAGGAGCAGGAAGAGGAGGGAGGAAGGGAAGTGAGGTGGGGCAGGAGGGGGGAGAGGAAGAGGAGGGAGGCAAGTGAGGTGGGGAAAAAGGGGGAGAGAAAGAAGGAGGAGGATGAGCTGGGTAGAGGGAAGAAGGGTTGGGAGGTGAGGAGGGTTGATGCACGATTAGTAAGGGAGGAGGGTAGAGAGATGAGTAAGGAAGGAGGGAAGTGGGTTGCGGAGGAGGGAGGGAAGTAGGAGGAAAGAATAGTAGGTGCAAGAGGGTGTGGGGTGAGTTGAGAATGAGAGAAGGGGGAGGTTTTACGGTGGAGAATATGGAGGGAAGTGGTGGGGAGGAGCAGGAGGAGGTAGGAGGGAAGGGAGGAGGGCGGGCACGTCTGGGTAGTTTCTCCAACCACTCGCCGAACCCTCGGTCATGGCGGCGGGGTTTTTGACCGTCTGGGTCACAGCGCGGCCTGGAAACCGGCGCGCGGGTAACATGCAGAGAATAGGTTCGGTGATAGCGAACCTGTCTGGCTTCATATGCGTATCGTCTTCGAAATTTATATTCCCTTACAAAAAGAAGATGCGTTTTCAACTAATGGCAGACGTAAACAACATAACTTCCTGACTTAGACAAAAATAGATCAGGAACATCATTTTACTCTCGCCCCTTGCCCCTTCCTCGTCAAAACAATTCAAAAGTGAACGGTTTCTCTCCCAAACGAAACACCAAACAGGCGTCCGAACCTAATCGAAACGTCTCTCCAATTCCACAGAGAAGCGATGAACCTCGACCCGGGAATCGTGTGTTACCAGCACTGCGAGGGGCGTCTCTTTAGCTTCAGTCTCCCTTCCTCATGCTACCTGTGCGGCGCTGACCTGACCGTTGAACCCCTGACCTGTCCGCCCTTCAGGTGAGTCGAACCGGATGACTCGCTGTTAGTCGGAGCAGAGGTTCGTCCGACGTCGTTTAGTTGGATCAGTAGCTGGTTTGGTAATTATGGATCTAACTGTGATGAGGTTTATGCATTGATGTATAATGCACACTGTATGATGTGTAATGAATCATGATGAGGTTGTATGATGTATAATGAATCGTGATGAGGTTGGTGTATAGATTCCCTTGTGACTTGCGTAATGTTGTAGCGAATTAAAAGCATTATTGTTGCATTATTGCAACTACATTAATACAATGACCACGTGAAAATAACAAATGATTTAAGATGACTGCAAAAATTGCGATGAAGAATATCTTGTGGAGGAATATTCGTAATATAATAGCAGATGCTAAAATTCATAGAATTCAGATATTTAACATCTTTGCTCCAATTGGTGCACATAAAGGAACATGAAATATTAGATCAACACGACATTACCAGTAACATCCCTAAGGAATAAAAACAGAAAAAATACATACCTGAATGTGTTTTGTAGCTGTGTAATAATGTATAAACGGGTACATATTATTTTCCAATTATAAACTAGTTTAAACTAATAACACGTGATATATTTGATATACTGTCTATACCTACATTCTACATTTTGGTAGTCTTTAGCCCTAAAATATTGACAGTGGGCAACACTATCACATCAGTGTTAAAACATCATTCTTGTTATCGTGACCTTTGCAAATATTTTTTTCCAGGTTGCCGTATCCTTTCGTGCGCGCCTCCCAAGCGCCTTGCTCCATCGTCATCAAGCCCACAAGGGAGACTTCTTTACAGTAGACCCTTCGTATTTCTGTTTGAGAGAAATGCCATTATGTTTGATATAAGCATGAGGCCAATGTGTTGAAATACTCACACGCAATCATTCAACTCAGTCACTGCTGCACATTCATGTCATGTCAATCACTTAGCACATTCACTGTCACCACTCAAATCTTATAAATACAAAACATATACTGTATATGCACACTAACAGCATTAATTCGTGATTCATATATATATATATATATATATTATATATATATATATATATTATATATATATATATATATATATATATATATATATATATTAATATAT